TAATAATACTTCCTAATAGAGAAGAAAATAATGTATTTAACAAATTATAATAATAATCATTATGTCATTTAAAGAGATCAACACAAAAAGACATAGTGTGTATTTGAAGAGTATAACACAATAAATGAAAATATAAAAGTAATGTGTTGTGAAATAAATCTACATTGAAGAACTTTAATACAAGAAAAGCATTACACATTTGTATAGTATTATTGCAAAATAAATTTGTACATTAATGATTATTATAAATTTTTGTGCACTTAGGTGCACCTTCAAAAGAATTGTTTTAAAATCACGTATATAATGTGTTATATTGCATAAGCTTCAGAGTCGTGGCTATAAATAAGATATAAAAGACTGCTTAAACTATATATGTATATATGTATATATGTGTGTGTGTGTGTGTGTGTGTGTGTGTGTGTGTGTGTGTGTGTGTGTGTGTGTGTGTGTGTGTGGATATATGTATATATAAGAATTAGTTAAATCCGTACTAAAGTTTAGAATGAAACATCAATTGGTTGCCTTCTCATCTATGTTGGTAATCCTCCACTCACAAGAAGATTTGAAGGAGAATAGTTTTGTATATTATCAAATAATTATATTTGTGCAACAAAAGTATAAAAACACTTGGATAATGGAGTATTACAGGCATAAATGTGTGCTCTAAGATATAAAAGAGTCACAATCATATTATATCATAATATTCACAGACAGTGAGATATTATGTATTATAAATAAACATTATTTCAATTCGCATGAGAAACATGATTTATGATTTAATTCATTAGCTTCTCTTTCGTGATATATGAGGGCATTATTAGGCCACTTGAAGGAGTTCTTTCTCTTCATCTTATTGTAAACGAAGATCAATATGTAACATCTGTAATTATATATTTTATTTTATACAATGATGTTTGTTTTATAAGTTTTTGGGAAGCATCATATCCACTCTCCAATTAGAAAATATAGATGATCAATGTGATGCCACAAAAAATAAATAAATTAAAAAAAAATTTGAAGTTAGTGAAAAGAAGATATATTTCTTTGATACTTGTTAAGTAAATTATTTTATACCTCACTATAAACATGTGATTGAACAATTATTGGAATTATATTGTACTTTCAGTAGCACTATTAAGTCTCCTTAAAGTTATCAACAAATTTTGACATCCAAGACTTAAAATAAGACTACAAATTCTTATTGATGAGCATGAGAAGATCATTGACACGTCTTCATGGGTTTAAATAACCCTATATCAAAATCTTTTTGTATTTTTATAAGTTTTCTTTGAATTATATTAGCTATGCATTACTTTTATGTGCAATGTAATGGGATAGGATGGCATCCATTGACTTCTAGATCTATTTATCCATAAGCACAACAATAATAAACTAATATCCTATCTCTACGTCTTGTCTCCCTCTACCTCAAGGACTTGGTCCTCCTTCTATGCATCATCTTGAAATTAAATTAAGTAAAAGTCCTAGTCAATAGAAGACAACTTCTCGATTTCATCCTTCTATTACTTCTCAAAATGTACTTGATTTTAAATTAGAATGGTTTGATCTTTATATTCTTACTCCAACCTTATTGGATTATTCTCTAGCCTAATGCGACTACTCCTCAACTTCTGAATAATAATAAAAATTGCTTCAACCTTTTATATGATAAAATAGAACGACCATTAGTTGATTGTACTTTTAAAGCTTCTAATGCTCTGTCCTAAAAAAATGGGCACATTTGATTTCTTTTCTATAGCTCTAACTCAAATAGATTGAATAAGAGCATGTATAATGGAGTCATATAAGTTTTGTTTATTAATTTTATACAATGTAGAATGTAAACTATTTTTAAAGAACATTTCAAAACATATTTTTACTTAAATTAAAACAACCACCCAATAATATTTAAAAAAAAATAAATACACTTAAAAAATTTATCCATAAGCAAAGATGGAAAATATTTGCCCATTAGCACTTTGTCTATCTTTCAGCTCAACATCCCAAAAGAGTATAATACATCTCCACCCTTAGCTTTTGGATGATTTTTGTACGCCTAGTGTTATAGTGATACTACAAGTCGAGTTATAGTGTATTAGGTTGATTCATTCTTTTTTAAGATGCTAGCTTTGTAGTGCATCGCATCCTTCTTCACCATCCTCAATATTTCTCCCCATGCTAACTTGTCCTATTGGGTATTTAATAAAGAATTTCCTCATCATTTAAATGATATAACCTATTTTTATTAAAATAAAATTATATTATTATAGTTCAAGAGATAGCACTACAGAAAAAAAAGTTGAAACTTCCACTTATTATCTCTCTAAGTGCACTCCAAGAAAATTTTATTTTAAGTCCATATTTTTGAAAAATTTTTCCCTAGCCTTGTAGTTATTAAGTAGCTTACTATCTATGCTTACCTCTTGTAACTCCTGAGAATTCTTTAAAAAGTAATCCAATGATCAAAGAATACATAGTTATTCCAAATGTTGTGTTTTCTTCTCCAATATTGAACACAATAAAATAACTTTCATTCCTAACATCATAATCTATTTTCAATAATAGTTCATGAACTTGAGAACCATGCATTTCAAAAGCTCTATATGAGGGATCCTTTAGTTTTGATAATAAAATCATTAAGCTTATATTATTTAATCAATTTATTCCTCAGAACCTCAGACTTATGTGTAATTGGAGCACTATAATGCCTCTCAACCGCTATGATTAGATCAAATATCTACATATTTAGCATAAGACTCAAAATATGCCAATTCTAAAAGAAATAAACAAAAAAACTAATAATAAATAATATTTGAACAATCTTTGAAGTATGATCAAATCATTTTTCAAGCATTTTTTAATCATGATTGAACAAAGTTCAAGCTACCTTTAAAGCATATTCAAACCATGATAAAAAAAGATCAAATCATTTTTGAACAATTAACAAATAATTTATAAATGACGATCAAAACATGATTTAATAATAATCAAACAAAACTTTCACTAAGATCATTTATTTTTTTATGCATCTTTAAATAATGATTAAGCAATCTTCAAATAAATGCAAAACTCTTTTAATAATGATAATCTTTAAACATTGATAAAAAACTTTTAGTAACGGTTGAGCCATGTTTAAATAAGAATTGAAATCAAATAAGGACCAGTTCTTGATTGAATTATCTCAAAGTACTAATTGGAATGATGTTAGAACAAGGATCTAACAAAGTTTAAATCATCCTCAAAGTATCTTTGCTTAATGATTAATGAAGACTTAAAAATGATTTAATCACTTTGCAAATTTTAAAATAATGATCGAATCATCTTTAAATACAGATTAAAAAGGATCTAACCATCTTTAAAGCATCATCAAATAATGATCAAACTATAATCAAAGCATTTTCAAATAATTATTAAATAATGGTGGCATCGTCATAAAATTAACTTTGAACAATAATGAAATAAAGATTGAGTCATCTTCAACCATCATCAATCGATGTTCCATCATTGCTTGATTATTGTTAGAAGATAACTCAAAAAATGATCAATCATCTTCAAATCAACTTCGATCATGATAATTTTATGTTTGATAATATTTTCTATATTTTTTATAATTATTTGAAGATGATTCTAATAAGATTCAATCGTTATCTGATCAACATTCAACTAAGTTTATAGAAGAAAGTTTGATATTTACTGGCACTCTAGATTCATAATATCTACCAGTATTCTAAGTTTAGTATTCAGAATAAATACCACATTCAATTCCATATAAATTAAATGAATAACCTTTACATGTGTGAGAAATTAAGGTTGCAAATGAACTGAGCGTTTGAAGCTACTTGTAAGTTAGCTTGATTCAAGCTCCTTCATGATCATTTGATTAACTAATTGAATGAGCTTAAACACTTTTGTAAGCACTCCATGACTAAATAAATAATCTAGAACAACATATTGTTTCATTGATTTATCTTCATGAACAATATCATTTAAAACTTGCAAATAAGTGCATGAAGAGTTCTATTAAGGCTCGATTACGACTCCATTATAGCTTGTTTATGAACAATATCATTTAAATATTTATTTTGAGGCTCAACCAGTATTATTTGATATAGCTCAATCATTTCTCCCTACAAGTTGTATTTATAAAGCTCAAGTAAGGTTCAATTAAAAATTCTCAATTATGGCTTGATTTTTGTTCATTTATTATCTTAGGCAAGTTGCTTGTTAATAAGCTCGTTAATTCATTTATATACTGAGCTCGATTTGAGCTTGAATAAAATATTTATAAAAGAGCTTGAGCTCAAACATAGTCTTAAAGCTTGAATTGAGCTCGAGTCGAGCTCGAACATATTATTAATAAATGACAAATGCTTAGCTTGACTCAGTTCATGTGCAGTCCTATCAAGAATTAAATCAATAAAGACAATTGTCATGAAATTTCATTATAGTTGAAAAGCAAGTAACAAAATAAGGAAATTACTAGGAAATTAATGTTCAAGGAATACTTAGGGGCTGTTTGAGGTCATTTTTGTTGATTAGTTTTATTTTTTTTTTATAAATTTGATCTTATTTTATTTATGTTTTGATTTGAAATAAAATATATTTAATATGTTTGATTATGATATGATTATTTTTGAAAACACTAAAATTTTTTGAAAATTATTTTATGTATTTTTGAAAGCATGTTTATTTATTTAAAAAAAAATAAAAAAAATATTAAAACATAAAAAAACAAATATATTAAAAAAAAAACATAAAATTGATGGCAAGCAAATTTTTATAATCAAAAGTTTAGTTTATCGCCACTTGCCAAACAATAGAGATATTTTGGTCACAAATAATATATTGGATATTTATTGTTTCAATAAAATAAATAGTAGGATTATTTTGCCAATTTCATCTATCATGGGCATAGATTGTCAATTTTTACGACAGAACAACCTAAATAATGTATGTATATAAATACTAACTAGCACTTCGGATATAGTCTCCCTGGCAAGAGACATGGCTACTTGTTTAGCTATAAAGCCCCTTCCGCCTCTCCATGGCAATCAACCTCGCCGGAAAAGCTATTTTCTCCGGCCAGTGACGCGCTCATCCTCCTCTCGCTTACCTTCGTTCGCCACAGCTTCGAAGAAAAGCGAAAGCCGAGGGACATTCGCGGCATCAGAAACTTCTTACTCCCTTCTCACGGCTGTCACAAGCCGCTATAACGAAATCGTTGTTCTAGACAATCCCGAGTCGAGGATTCTGCTTCTCGATTCATCCCGTAAGTTACAGTCATTAGCACTTTTCAATTCCGTGTCACCATTCACTGAGAGCTAATTATTTTTGAATCTGTTTTGATATTTTATAGAATAGGTTATTTTTATAGAACTGGTGAGTTTATTGAGAGGAGGTTATATCGTTTATATTGTTTTTTTTTATGTTAAATTTTGGTGGAAGCTGAAAATCTCATTGTCCATTTAGAGTTAATTTGAATGTAATAAACTAAGGGGTTGTCTGGTAATGGATTTAGAGCGGGATTTAAGCTAAATCTTGTCAGACGGTCATTTTGGACGAGTTTAAGACACAAATTTGATAAATCCGGATTTCACGGATTTCGGCTGTAACTTTCATAAATCCTAAATCCCACAAATCGGTTCCCAAACAGTTTTAATGGATCCACGGGATTTAGAGGATTTCTTTGCCAGACGATTTTTCATTCAGGATTTAGTATATCCGGTTTTACAGGATTTAGTAAATCCGGATTTGCAGGATTTACTAATTCATAATAACTTAAAATAAATCCGTTACCAGAATGTTTAATTTTGGTAGAAGCTGAAAATCTCATAATTCATAATAACTTAAAATAAATCCGTTACCAGACAACCCCTAATTGTCAAACAAAAATAGAATAATGATGTTTATAAGAGCAATGGTTGACTAGAAGATTCAAATATCAAAACTCCAAAGCATATCGTGTCGGTAAAGGAATGACAGTTTTAGGGACTCAAGTTGATATTATCTGTCCTTTTCTCGTTTTATGATTGTAGCGGGCACAGAAATTCTCGATGTTTGTTTTTAATAGAAAGGGTTTTCAGGTCTGTATTAATCTAACAAGCTATTTGAAAAGTTCTGTTGCTTATAACATTGGTCGTCAAGGAAAGTTAGAAATCAAAATATCAGAGTTTATATGGTTAATTAGATTTCTGCTGCCCCTCAACTGGTTTTCTTTTATTTTTGTGAACTGAACAATCACATTATCTGTCTTGCACTATAATTAAGCTTTTAGGGTTTGGTTTGAATCCAATAAAATAATTGCAAATTACTGCTGTTTCTTGTAGCAGCGTTTTATTAGAGAAAAAACAAAATGTATCAAAGTTCTAAATTTTATATGCATAGATTTCTGCCTTTGCGGATGTAGGTGAACAAATGATAGTTTTGGTGCCTCAAGTTGACTCAATTCATGGTGACGAAGCAAGAGTACTTTATGATTGAGATTATGAAATTTTAAGACTTGTTACTCAGTTCCAACATTGGTGTTGTCGTCATCATTAGCCTTATCCCAACTATCTGAGGTTGGTATTATGAATATTTTTATAAAAGAGTTGTGACTGATCATTTCTATAAGTAGACAAAAATAGTTTAAGAATATTAAGATTGTTGTGCCTAAAAATTAGAATGAAGGGTGGAATGTGTAACGACTTGTTTCAGTACTGGAGGGAGAGGAAACGAAGAGAGCGGCGAGGAATCAAATAGTTGAGCAGAGGAAGCGAGAAGTTGGGAAGTTGAAACGAAGTGTCGGGAAGCCAAGGAGATGAATTCACCCATAAAACATCGCAAGCGACCTACATGTAGAGTCGAGCAGTTTTTGGTGCAAAAGTCGAGCAGTTGGTGCCTGCTTCATCAAGGAAAAGATGATCTAGTGGCATTGTCGAGCTTCGAGCAGGCATTTGGTGCGAAGGTAGATCATGAACCACGCACCGAGAACGCAAACTGAAGGAGAAGAAGAGATCGACATACCCTATCCGTGGCATGAGACACTGCGGGAAAAGATCCTTTGCCTTATCATCACTCAATCTTGAGCGATCGAAGGAGAAGAAAGGAGGGCGGCCGGTTCATTAGTTTTTATACTGTGGTGATTTTTTGGCTCTTTTAGACCAAATACATTTATTGTTACTATCATTAGTTATATTGAAATTACTACAAACTCATGATTTTGAATTCTATTAATTTTTTGTTCATACTGTAAGAATGATATGTGTGCACATCATTATTGAATGATTTGACTGCTATGCAAATAAAAAATAAATATTTTTTTATTTGAAAGTGATATTTTTAGTGAATATTTGTATGTGCATGATTGACTATGATAGAGTTATCCTTTGATGGTACTAGTGGAGGAATACTAATGAACCGGTGCACTTATCTGAAAGAGGTGCAAATAAAAAATAAATATTTTATTTGAAAGTGATATTTTTATTGAATATTTGTATGTGCATGATTGACTATAATAGAGTTACCCTTTGATGGTACTAGTGGGGGAATACTAATGAACCGGTGCACTTATCTGAAAGAGGGCATTGATATTGATGTGTCTTAATTTACACATTTTTTAGACGATGCTCTTGTGTCGGTTGTACAGATATAGAATGATATTGATATGTTATTAATATAGTAAGATTCATTGATAACATGTTAAATATTTATATTGATTTATTTAAAAGTTTAACTGACATTCATTTTGATTTCTTTTTTCTTGTATTGCTGTGACTTAGAAGTATGAGTATTCACTTACTTGTTTAGCTTATAATTATTTTAAACTAACTTTTCAGGTCAATTAAGTGATTAAAGATGAGTTATAGAAGAGAAAATATTTATAGAAGACGCAGACAACTAGCAACGAGGTAAATTTAAATATAGTTTTAATTTATATTGATTAGTGACTCTTTCATTTTTATCTTATTATTTATAGTAACTGAATATTGAAACTTTAATTTATATCGTCCGACCGTCTGTTCCCGTCTTGATTAATTTCAAGTTCCTGGCTGGGTCGTGACAAAAAGTTACCCATAAAATGGGTGTATAAATTTAGTGTTTAAGGATTGAGAAGATAGAGGGGTAACCAAAATTAAGATTATAAAAGTTGCACAAGAAGATTTGCATGACAATTTCAACTCATTATGGAGTATGCAGCATGAGTGAGTGTAGAATTAAGATTCGTAAAGTTGACTTGAAATACTTTTTATAAGGCTAATGATTGCGTTGATCATATCATTTGCACAACTTTCAATCATTTTAACTTTTGACTTCCCATTTTCCTTGCCATAAACCTCAAGCTACTTGTATTTACCCATCTTACTGATGAACATATCGTTTTCTCTAAATATATTAATGCCTATTCTACCTATGTTGATTTTACTTTTCCTCATCATGAATAGATGCTACTTCCATTATATAAATTACTTGATTATTTCTCATTTTAATATCTAATCTTACTACATATATAATCTTGACATTCTTATGTCTTCCATGCTTTATTTTGTTGTGGATAGCTTATTTATTGTCCAATACTCAAATCTTACGATATTTTCAAACTAGTAATAGTTTATTCTTCAAATTTAATTCTACATGATATTTTCTTATTACATAGTTGTCCTAAAGAATTTTTATTTTTCGAATTCTAGAAGTTTTTCTTGCATATTTAAATTTGTATTACCTCAACAACAAGTACAGTAGTCTCAATTCTTGTATTATTGAAAATTTTCTCTTATGTTGTAATTTCTCACTACAGAGAAGTTCTCCCTTATTAAAATTGTTATTTTGTGAATTGAGTATACCAAGCTACCCCAATTTGACTAACTTTTAACAATATATACACAAAGAATAAAGGAAATGCTAAGTTCTTACTAGATTTTGATTTGACTTTACTTTCAATAAAGTCTCTTTTTTCACCCCATAGTTATTTTTAATATCAATCACTACTCCTTCACACTTATCTTTAGCAACCCTTTTAAACTTTAAACATACATTTTTTCTCTAAAGTCAATCAAAAATTTTTTTTGATACTTGATTTTATGCCTTTTTTATGATCATTTAAAATCACATCAATTTAGTCAAATGAAATTAATGTTGTCATCATCATCACTAGCCTTATATCAACCATTTGGGGTTGGCTCTAAATAAATTTCATATGGAAAATCATGCTTTATTCCAAATATTTTTAAATTATTATTTTAGCAAAAAATTAATCTTTTGAAATTCTTTTAGCATAAAATATTATTTTTGATTCCAACTTGATTTTGGTATGCCTGTGTTACATTATCCCCTTGCCTAGTTTTAACTTACAACTTATACGTTTAATTCAACTATAAATGATAATCTCCAACATCTCTTTTTGTCAATAAAAACTTAATTTTCTCCAACCATTGACATTTTATAACATATAATTTTATTAATAAGATTTGCTTATAAAACTACTCCAATTTCCCCAACAACTCTTTGAAAATCTCTTTATTAACTAACTTCTTTCATGCATCTTATTTAAATCTTACTCAAATTTACTTTTAGTTCAATCTAAATTATATTTATTGGCGCTATTAATTTGATCGTAATGATTTCATTTTGTAATTTGTGAAAATTGCATTTAATTATCCATGTCACCGTCATTCTTAACTTTAATATAGAAAATCATATAATTATTTATAGTATATGTTAACGACATTTGCTCATGAGAGAAATCTAGAATTTCCACATGTATTTGCTTTTAAATTACTTTTACTTCATATTCTTAACTTTCACATCCTTCTTAGGAGCATCGTCAAAACATAACCTGACACGCCCTTGATTGATATTATCCTGTCGACATAACAGTTTGTGATCTAATTTACACGATTGTCTAAGTTGAAATTGTGTTTACTCGCCCTTGACCGATATTCTCCCGTGGGTATAGTAGTTAACCATCTAAATATCACAATTTATCTGAGGTGATAAAAAAATTCCTTGCGCACGAGTACATATGCATCCCCTACTTGTACCATAAAGGGGTGAACTTCTCATGTTAATATTACAAACATTCATATATACACTATTTCATTCTTCATAATATTTCTTTTTTTTATGAAACATTTTACCTCCATCTAATAATGAATAAATAAGATTTTACTTAATATTACAAACATTCATATATATACTATTTCATTCTTCATAATATTTCTTTTTTTTTATGAAACACTTTACCTCCATCTAATAATGAATAAATAAGATTTTACTAAATTTTTAGGTAATGCAATAAACTGATACATGCATTTATATTGGAGTTTACATATCATGTAGGCATAAAACATCTTAGGAAAACTATAATGCAGTTGTTTATACATGATTGCAAATATGCATGCTTTATACAATATGAAGAACCAATTCTATCCAAGAATCAATGATATATAATGTAAAATATGATAAATAGAAATAAAAATACATTTAGAAATAAGAAATAGTGCTGTAAGTTACAAGCATAATTGCCCACATCGAGTCTTTCACCTTAGGTGCAACTTTTCACGATCTCTAACTCCAAATGTTTTAGAAACAAATTTTTTATGATCTTAATTGCTGTTATAATTTGATATTCTTAATAAACATTAATTCTAAATTAAATAAATTAACCTTTAACTTTAATTAACTTATCATTTTTTTTTGAGGTGATCCACTCAATCTCAAAAGTGAATATTCCTTTCTTTTATTACTTGTCTAGACTTAATTATTAATATTAGTTAATGAAAAATAGTATAATTTAATAACATTTAATTAATAAAACAAGTAACATGTATAAATAAAGAATTAAATTATTATCTTTATTATCATCAACATTTCTTGTTTCAAGCCAAAAACGAGTCATTTTTTTTCTTGATTTCACTGTTTGATCCTCTGTTCCCGTTTTAGTTAATTCTAATCCTCAGACCAGGTTATAACAATTAGTTTGACTTTAAACTTGTTAAAATCGGAGCCTAGATTATGTTAAATTTCAATTTGAAAGATTCTTATAAAAATGCATCAAGATTTGTGCATGATAAAAAATAGTTGATGACACATCATCCAAAAGATTAATAAAGGAAAATGGGTAGATCTAGGTGATGCGAAAGTAACCGAGAGCCCTTGTTTCTGCCCCTCTACTACAACATCGCGTTCGTTCTGTGATTTGCTATAGTTCTGTGAGCATGTGGCTACCATTTTTGTGCTTGGAGCGAACCAGTTTAGGTTTTTTCATTGTTATGGAGGTGGCCGGCCCTTTTGGGCTACTCCTCACAATCCTTTTACTATATATTTGCTTTTCTGATATTCTAAGTTTAATTTTTGCTCGAGTTTGTTTAGGTCCAACCATCGACATCCATTTTCTCCCTTTGAGGGCTATATTTGAGGTTTTGGGTGGTGCTTCAGCTGTATCTCTCTCCCGAGGTGGTGATTATCTTTCATATCTCCTTCTACATCCGCCCCTTGTCGCTCCCGGCCGCCCTCCATTGTAGCCACCTCCGAACAACCACCGTTGTTGTTCTTCCTGTAGTTCATCACTATCCAGCTAGGGGTGTAAACTAAACGAGTCAAGCTTGAGCTATGCTGTTATCAAGCTTGGCTCGTTTGCCAAATTGTGAGCTTAAGTCAAGTTTGAATGGGGAGTTCGAGTTCAGCTTTTAGTGCTAGTATCCGACTCACGAGTTCGAACTAAATGTTTAATTTTTATAGGAGCTAATCGTAAAAGGTATTGGTGGCCGGAGGATGAAGAGGAGGTAGCGACAGCTCACCGGAAAATTCATCGAAATGACTAGCGGTAACCCAATCGTGCCGGCTTGTGATCCAACGAGTCAAGCCGGGACGAACTCGAGCTCAAGCTTGTGGCTCAATAAGTAGGCTCGTGAGCTCGTTAACGACTTGAGGTCGAGCTAGCTCGCGAACTGGCTCTGGTCGTTTACAACCATATGTCAACCATCATCCTCGTAGCTGTTGCCCCATGACCGCCTTCCTTTGGCCATTTTGCATTCCCCGCCGTTGCTACCGTCATTTATGCTCCCCACCGTCTGTCAGAAATAGCCGTTCCCAACTATTTTCTTCTGTTCTAGCCAGCCGGCCATCTATTTCCCTCATTTTAGTTTGCCGTCATTGTTGCAATTCCTCTTTGCTCCCGCCGTCCTCCTCCCTTGCTACCGCAATCGAGGACTGCCTGTTCCAACTATTTCAATACGTTCCATCCCCTCTTCTTTGCTGCCATCACTCCGGGCAGCCCTCCCACATCACTCTCTTTTGTTTACTTGTTTTTCAATGTCACAAACCGATCTAGTGCTTAGAATTAACTAAGGCCGGAATTGCGGTTGGACGGTAGTAACATCTAACTATCCACATTTGCTTTCCCTAGATGATACTGAATATCCAAATCATAATCTTTAATAAATTCTTGCCATCTCCTGCATCAGAGTTTGAATTATACCTTCAATAAAAAAGAGTTGAACCTGAGGCAGAGGAAATGACTAAAATTTATTAAAGATTATGATTTAGATATTCAATATTATTCAGGGAAGTCAAATGTGCATATTTAAATATTAATACCATCCGACCGTAGTTCCGGTCTCAGTTAATTCTAAGCACTGGGTCGAGTCGTGACAAAAGTTTTTTTTATGATGCTAGTGTCTCTTTGCTGTTTCTTTCAGATGTTGATCAGTACTTGATTAGGATGTTATTTTTAGATGTTATTATTTCTGGATGCTTTAGATTTTATTGCGCTTTGTAGATTAGTGGCTCTTTTATATATTGAAAGTTTTAAAAATGTTGATAATTAGTTAGATGTTAATACCGTCCGACCGCAGTACCCGCCTTAGTTAATTCTATCAACATTTAGACCATTTAGCACTGATATTAAGCTATTTCTTTTCTAATAATTGAAAATTTTGTCTGCCTGCAGACAATATTCATAGCATTCTTTCGAAGGAGAAAAAATGGACAGGCTCATACTGGGTATGTATTCGTTGGAATGCCCCAGCTGAAGTTCTTTTCTCATAAAGACAGGAAATGGCTATTGTTATTCAGACTTTGGCAATACTTTTAGACCTAAAACAGGAAATTGGTCCGATTTTATTACTCATGCATTCAGGTTTTGTATGGCGGATACTCCATGCTGCCTGATCTAACTTGAGAAGGTTTCCTAATTTTTGCATCTATCCATTATTATCCCAACTATTTTGGATCAGCCCTAGGCATCATCATTTCTCATTAGCTTATGTTGAGTGTTGCACAAGATGTTAAATTTGTGCTTTTGTGGATATTTTTGAACAATTCCTTGTGGCATTTACATACATACCATATAATTCTTATGTTTTTGCATATCTAACACCTAAACATTCATATTTACATACATACCTCTCAAATCTTTAAAATCACATTAAAGATATGACTATCACTATCCTTTTAAAAGTCAAATACATATTTTCATGCATATGTTTATGACACTAAGCCAAGGTATTATAAGTGTAAATATCAAAATTCCGGTGTTAGATATGTTAATATATAAGAATTGTGTGGTATGTATGTAAATTTCCCGAGTTTCTTTTTACACTGAGTTGGTCAACCTTTTTTCCATCCTAATCATTCAACCCCTTTATGACGTGGATTTTTCCAAATCATTTCTTTTTGGTACATTTTCTTACCTGATTGTGTGAAATGAAAATCTCGAGTTTGGGTGAAAAACTTGCCCCAATTTAGGGCCTTTCTTTAGTAGAATGCTAGGATTATCCATTCCGGTTTGAACTTGTTCAAACCTGACCTAGCTTGAGCTGTGCCAAACTTTGTTTGAAATGATTCTATTGATGCATCTGAAATTTAAAATGTTCTTCCCAATTATATCTCAGCTTTTCATCCATTTGTCACCATTATGGAATTTTTCCACTGTCGACATATATATTTTTTTCATCCTATAATGTGCAGTTTTTAATGATGAGAATCTAAGTTTTATTACTGTTAGCCATATACTCTCATAATTTAGAATAATAAAGCATTGGAATATCATTTTATAATGTTTTTAATTGCCTTGTTAGCAGATAAAGCTTTTAGTGCATGGAATTTAGCTTATGTTTTTTTTTAGCGCTCCATTTCCCAAGTTTATTTTTTTACATTTTTTTCCTTCTCAATTTTATCTCAAACACCATGTCTTCCTTACTAGTTGGTTATGGTTTTAGCTCTTTTGCTATGATGTTCATTGTGTCAACCTAGTTTTTCTTGATATTAAAAGAGAGTAAATGTAGAAAATTGGGAAAGAATTTTTTTTCTCGCTCTCTTCAATGCATTACTCTCTACTACATATATATAGTAGCGTGGCTGACATACCAGTCCACAAAATAAGAAACATAAATTCTTTTAAATTAGGAATCCCACCAAACTGAATAAAAAAAGTCCAATAAAAAATATAATAAGTGAAACATATGCTGAGCGAAGGAAATAAATTCTTTCCCAATCAAGCATGTGGATTGGCATTTTTCTCACTCTCGCTCAAGTTGGGTTGTATATATTATTCAAATCAAGCTTGGACTTCAATTCATCATGACTGACCCATGGTAGTGCTTTCGTAAGAATCTCAAAAATCTAAAGATGTTTATGAATATAGCTTATTTGAACAATTTCGTTGTCAACCTTTTCTTAGATTAAGTGTTTGTTAACCTTGATGTATTTTGTTCTTTCTGATGCACAAAATTTTTTGCTATAATTGTTGCTTTTCTACCGCTAAACATCTTAATTGTGTCTTTCATCTCCACCTTAAGTTCTATTAATAATTTTTGAATTCACATTTCCTTACATTTTCCTAGTGCCAAGGCAAGATATTAAGATTTTGCATTACTCTGAGTGAAAATAACTTACTTTTAACTTCTCCACTTGACGAGATTTTTCCAGACGAATGAACAATGTACAATGGTTAATTTTTTATCAATTACATCTTCTGCTCAGTTAGCATCTATGCATACCTCAATTTCACAATTTTTTAGATCTTTTGAAGAGAAAATCATATTTATTTATTATTTTCAAGTATCTTAGGATTCTGTTCACTGCTTCCAAATGACCCCCCTTTGGATTATTCATGTGCCGACTTATTACACTGTCTGAGTATGTAATATCAGATCTTATGTGTGATAGGTGGAGTAGTTTGCTAAGTCTTTGATATCTTTCTTTCTTAACTTGATTGTTTTCTTCCCTTCTATCCAACCTTTTGTTGGAATCCATGGGCGTGTCACTAGGTTTATACCCAAGTATGATAGTTTCACTTAACAAATCTAAGATGCACTTCCTTTGGGATGTGATAATTCCCTCATCAGACTGAACCACCTCCATTTCCAAAAAATATCAGAGAATCTCGAGGTTCTTGATCTCAAATTTTATTGCAAACATCCTTTTTAGTATGATAACTGAATCATCACCTGTTAAGGTAATATCATTTGCATATACTTTGAGAATAGTTATTTTGCCTTTAGGATTGGATTTTACAAACAATATATGATCAATTTGACACTGCTAATATCTCTTTGTCATCAACGTTTCAGTAAACTTGCCAAACTAAGTACAAGAGATTGCTTCAAGCCATATAAGGACTTCTTCAACTTGCAAACCAACTTATTGCTCAATTTGTTTTCCGAGCCTAGAGGTATAGTTGTGCGGAATTTTTTATCAAGATTGTCAGTCAAGAAGGTATTTTTGACATTAAGTTGGTATAAATGTCAATATTGATTTACTACAAAAGAGAGTAAAACTTGAATCATAGTAAGTATGACAACAAGTGTAAATGTTTTTAGATATTCAATCCTGTAAGACCATGTGAAGCTTTGTACAACCAGTTTGGCTTTGAATCTCTCTACGCTTCTATCTCCTTTATACTTGACCGTGAATACCTATTCGCAATCTACAGGATTTTTTCCTTGTGGTAATTCTGTAAGAGTCTCTGTGTTATTTTTTTTAAAGCCCAAATTTTTTCATCAATAGTCTGCTTTCATGCTAAAATCTTTAGAGCCTCTTGGATAAACTTTAGAACATGCACACTATAAATGTTTGTCACAAAATCCCTGTATGATGATAAATTCCATAAGCTACATATCTTTCAATTGGATGATCAGTGTTCCATCAGATACATTTTTTTTATGCAATTGGTTGATTAAAGTCATCAATCATCAATGTAAGAAAGTGATGAGTTAAGGAATCCATACTATTATGATTATCAAATGCAGGAGGACTTGATTCTGGCTTTTGATAGTCTTGGGTCTGCATAGTATTCTTTTCATGCTTAGTGGCCTTCTTCTAGTGTATGCGTGAAATTCTTGATCATTAGTGTCGTAATGAGGTGGAGTAGAGACAATTGGGATTGTTTCTTTGATAGAGTTTGGTTCTTTAAGTGGAATTGGTTGAAGACAATATTTGATCCAATTAAAGAAAAAATGGTCTGAGTATCTTGAAAAAAATCCAAAATATGATATTCCCTTGAGTTCTTTCAATGAATTTCAGATTTGAGAAAATAAGTTTGATTCCTAAAGAATATGATATTCATGGAGTTGTATATTTGCCTAGTGGTTGAGAGTAACATTTGTATCCTTTTTGATTGGAAGTATATTCGAGGAAGATGCATTTGAGAGGCTTGGAATTAGGTTTGGTGTTGTGTTGTTGATGAGTGGGAGCAAAAGCAAAACAACTAAAATTTTTTAACTTTAAGTAAAAAGAAAGAGAACTTATTTGTGTGTAGGATTCCATGAGAACATTACAAGGAATTTAAATTTTTTAGGCTCGATTAGACATTCTATTAATGAGACATGTGGTTATGATAAAGACTTCCCCAAAACATGTTTAGGTATATGATTAAAGAACATAATGACATGAGCACCTAAATTAAGTGTCTATTTTTTCTTTCAGTGACCCCATTTTGCTGAGAAGTATTCACAAAAAAATATTTGAATATTGTCATGCTTTGAAAGATGAGAACTAATGATGTAATTAAAATATTCCTTAACATTATCAATTTTAAGAATCTAAATTTTGCTTTGGAATTGAGTGAGGGTCATAGATTGAAAGGATTGAAATATAATGGTTGCTTCAAACTTTTCTTTCATAAAGAGTCTCCATGTTGTTATTTGTGATCATCTATGAATGATTCAATCCATTGTGTTTTATTTATATTGTTTATTTGTGAGGGTCCCCATGTTTACTTGTGAATTATAAAATAAAGATGTGAAAGCTTGTATTGCAGTTTATGTTATATATGTTTGATATATTTTGCAAGTTGACATGTTTCACATTGATAAATATTAGACCTTTTTAGCGATAAATAATTGTGAAAATATATTTTTCATGTATGCAAAATATTGATGATCAAGATGACAATGACTTAACATTATTTGACTTTCTACCGAAACTTTAATAAAAGTTGATCTAAACTCAAATAAATAATTTGACGAATGACCTTGCCTACCGCTAGTTAATTTTTTTAGCAATTATATATTATCATGCATCTCAGTACTTTCAATTACTTTCCCTAAATTCATAACTTAAAAATCACAATAATTGGAATAAAATTTATTCACATAATTTAGGTCAAGTAAATTTACTGATTAAGAACAGTTGCAATTTAATTTTGGGTATAGATGAAGAACCTTTGTCGATTCGGCTAATCGAATTCCTGTTGCTGGTGAGAATGACCATCTTCTATTTGAATTGCAGAGTGTCCGACACATGGTTTATAATTTTTAAAGACCTGATGTCTGCTGTGATATGATATGAGGCTCCAAAGTCAACCATCCAAGACTTTCATTTATTGTTTGGAGACCAAAGAAAGAGGATAAGATACCTTGGTGTGCTAACAAACTAATAGGTTACTCAATAGAAGATTGTGTTCTTGTTCAGAACTTAGAACTATTACTAAACATTTTCTTCAGTGTCTCATTTTGCTCTTTGGTGAACGGATTGAAGTCTGAATTGTTGTTGGTTGTGGCAAAATCATATGCAGTGTTCTCTCTATCACATTTTTCATTAGACGACTTCCAATCTGCAAGTTTACCTTATAATTTTCTACAATTTTTCTTCACATGAGTAAGTTTTTTACATTAGTTGCACCATGATCATTCTTTCTTAGGGCAGTTATTCTAAGAGCAATTTTTAGTGTACAAGGCTGATAATTCAACAGATATTGTGGTGTGACTGTATGTTATCATCGACTTCTATATGCTCTCCTCCCTTTGAAATTTTGTAGAAGTCCGTCGAATGATATTGATGGGTTTAATTTAATGATTCTCCACGTACATTCATCCAGGTTTTTATTGAGGCCAAGGAGAAATTTGATGGTTCTTTTTTAGGTTTTTATTGAGGCCAAGGAGAAATTTGATTGTTCTTTTTTGTTCTATATAAGGCAGAGTTATCAAGATCTTTCCAAGAATAAATCTCATGCATGTCCAATTGCAACCAACAACGTATGGGGCTGTTGAAATATTAAGTAGCATATAATTCTCTGCATAGATCATGTATTATGGTCTCAATCTTAAATAACTCTGAGGAGTTTTTCAACGCTAGAGTATGATTCACATACATCCTCCCATATCTCTTTCGCTATCCTATAGAGAAAATATTTCTCCAACCACTGTGGTCATGTAATTCATTAAACCATGGCAACCATATGATCTTCTTTTTCCTAGACCTGATATTTGAAATTTATCATTTATAGAGCTGAAATTTTACCTGTAAGATGTTAATCTTTCACTCACCACAGATGTATACAAAGACGAACCAAGGCAATTGAAAAAATTATGACCATGTTTTTTATGATTCATGACTAGGTGAGACGAGTTATCAGATATGATAAGAGTTGAAGATATAGACTCCAATATATGTAGGTGACTTTCGATGAAGAAATATTTGGGGCCATGCTGGCTTGTTTGGCCATGGTACGATTTTGAAGTTCAAATCGAAAATACTCGTTGTTCGAACCAAAGTGAGAGGATGACCCTTACTTTGACTGCTCGGTTGGACGAGAGAACTGGAACTAGAGGGAGGTGCGCAACTCGGTTTTCATACGTTTGGCACTATATGAGAGGTGTTTTGGCAGTTTTTTATTAAGTGGACTATTCTTGAGGTGGCGTCTAGGGCAAGCTATATTGGTTCCGTGGATCGAATCTTTCATGGATTAGCGAACGAAAGAGGAAGAAACCAAATAGTGTTTGTCGGAAATCAAATGGAGCATTCTTTTTGCGACAAGCTCAAATTGTTCAAACTTGTGATCTGTTCGAACGGAAGAAACGAACTACAGACCACTGACTCATGCATACTAGGTGATCTGTTCGAATGGAAGAGACAGATGATGAAAGAGCTGTGAGTTCTACGACTAGAACCTGCGAAGGTCCATCGAGAGAGCAAGAGATGAGCTCTCAGTTTTGGCGGCTCCCGCTTGCTTGCCTTTCTCTCATGTGCATATGAGCGAGGCGAGCGATAGGATCTTAGGCTATTGGACTCGTAGGATTCGTGAGACTTGTGAATAGAAGCAACGTGAAGCAGGAGGGCATTCGCTTCTTGTAGCCAGGCTAGTTGAGAGGCTAGGATTAGGGCTGACAATTTGGTTCGTTGTTCGTGAACAACTCGTGTTCAACTCGTTAAGCAGTTCGTGTTCGACTTGTTCGTTAAACCTAACGAGCCGAACACGAACAAATTTTTAAGCACGAAATATAAACGAGTTGAACACGAACAAAAGTTTGTTCGCTCGTGTTCAACTAGTCATATTTTGAAATAATTAAATAATAATATATAAAATTTAAAATAATGATATTTTTTATATGATATAAAAGTTTTGGTTTATTTAAATATTTAAAAAAAATTAGATGTTAGATATGTAAATACATATGAATTGGGTGTATTTATGTGAATGCCCATTAAAGAGTTCTGTATGTAAAAGCTTCCCAACTTTTTCTAAAAGGTGGCATGCCTACTGCTCTGCGTTGGAGAGGTGTTACGCAGGTAAATGCATAAGAATTTGGCATTATCTATGTAAATGCAAATAAAATTCAAAAAGACTTTAGTCCCACATCATGCTAGAATAAAATGAGCCTGAGCTCGCTGAGGCTCGACTCGTTTACAACCCTAGCTAGGATGCTCAACATCGTAAAAACGTGAGGAGGTGTCCTGTGAACTGTTAGAGAACAAAACAAATGGTTGCAGCTTTCTCATGATCCCTTACGATATATATATATATATACATAGCGGTCCACAAAATAATAAAGAATACTTTTAAATTGTAAATCCCATCGAACAGAAAAATAGGTAATGTCTAATAAAAGAAACACAATTATTAAAATATATTCTGAGCATAAGAAATAAATTTCTTCATAATTAAACATGTTGATTGACACTTTCCAACATAAAATTATCTTATATTTAAGATTACCTTAATTAATGGTATGTTTGCTTAATGGTCACTGAGATTTGCCATGACTTTTTTTTTTAAATTTCCAGCAAACCAAGTTTGTCAGTCTTGTTGATTGTTGTCTTTTAATCTAACTTTTTTATCTATTTTTCTTGTGTTTACATAGTCCTTGTCATGACTAAACCCAGGAGTTTGTGATTTCTAGGGTGAGAACAGACGGTCGAATGATGAATTCAAATTTAACTATATCTTTAAATTACCAATGAATTAAAATTTAAGTTTTCTCATAAAAATTATCTAAACCTTAAACAATAAAAGAACCAAAGAATTACAAAATCTAAAGCAAATATAAAGTATGATACCTTGCTTGGATCATGTTCCGTATATAATATATATTATTTCTTCCTTCACACATTTAAACTTGAATAAATAAGTAATATAATGAGGTATCAAAAGAACATAGTTGAATAATTATAATTTTAAATTATATTACCTAAATGAAAAAAAAAGAAATATGCATTCTAGTCCTTTCTATAAGTTATAAAAAAAAATCATGTGGAAATATGGACCTATTAATATAAACCCTTGACAGTGAATGTCATATAAAATGCATAACTTTTGGTACATTAATTTTTGCTTGGATCTAAATTTTAACATTTAATAAAATTTATATATATCTCAATTTATGCATCTATCTCATGAGCACCATCTAAATATAACAAATTCTCTCCTTGTTGATATATTCCCTGTCGACATAATGGGGCGTAGAGCAAAACTATTATTATCGGAGGTGGAATGGTGCATACCGGCCACCTTGGTTCATACAACTCTTGTCAGTATGGCGGAGTGTGATCTTCATTCTATTATTATCTAAAGATAATAGACAAAAAAACTAGTGCATGGGCATATTAACTTTTTCAGCTAGTATTATAAGTGGGTGAATTTTTTTTTATCAACATGCACATTTATATATAGAATATTTTCATTTGCATTCATCATAACTTGCATTAGTTTTTAATGACTTTCTATACTTGCTTACTAATCATCATATGTTATCCTGTGAAAAATTTATGCATGATGTAATGATCTAATGCCTTCATGTAGGAAACTACTAAATGTGCTTTCATAAAATAATATTAATAGATATTTTATTATTTTAATAATATAACATACCAATTGTAACAAAGAATCAATAAACAAAAGTCAAAAATAGGAAGAATTTTAATAAAAGAACATACTAGTTAAATGCATAATGTTTTGAAGTAGAAAATAATACAAAATTTAGAAATATAATTACTTATTTTAATTTTACTTTAAAGTCTTGATCTATAAATCATAAGATTAATGTTTCAATAATTTATATTCATTTTGATACTTATTTACTTATAAATCTCAAATCCAACTTTAAAGTCTTGATCTATAAATTATAAGATTAATGTTCCGATAATTTTTATTCATTTTGATACTAATGAACTTATAAATCTCAAATCCAAATCTAAGATTCTTGTAAATATAATTCACCGAATTCTTTAATTTTCTCTACATAACTTTAGCCTCCTTAAATTTTAATTAAATTACTTTTATCAATCAAATGAATATTTAACTTAATTCAAATATAATTCTTTATTAAAGTTTTTCCGCTTTATCAGAAGTTACAACTTTTTTTAATTATATTTAAGACTTCTATTAATGTGAGTTTTATTTCGAGTCGCCTGATTTTCACGATCGCCCTCTTCCACTCATGATTGCCAACAACCTACCGGGAGAGCACACACAGAACACTGCACTCGCTTTCTCGTGCTTGTTCATCCATGTTTGCTATAAATCACACGACCTCTCGCTCTTGCACAAAGATGGCACCCCAATCTTCTTTGTCTCCAACTCTCTCACATTCTCTACTAATATTCGTGCTTCTAGTACAATAAATCTAATCTCCACATCTCTTATATGCTGCATGGTTCGCTCATCTTCATCTCTTTTGTCTTATCTTCTTCTCTTTAAGTGAACCAACAAACGCTGATTCAGTTGAATTGCATTTGTCGGTTTGACTACTATTTTTTTCTTGGTTATTAGAATCATATGCTTTTATTTTACACTTTTTAGCTGCATCATTTTGTTGACATCTTCACGTTGCGCTTAAGGGATTAGTTTTTTTCTACTCCCTTGGGAATTAGAAATTAAATATTTTGATTTAAACTTTAAATTGCAGGATGAATTTGCCAGCCTTCCGGCTATTGTTCCAGAAGGTCCTATTGCAGTTTTAGGTTTGGTAAGTCAGGCTCTGATATAATTTTTCTTTGCTTCCACTTTAAATTCATTTTAGAATAATTAATGAACCATGACAATATTAATACGTATGCGCTTCTTCATAGGGTGGAGGAACTGCTGCTCATTTGATGCTTGAATTGTGGCCTTCAATAAATTTTGAGGGTTGGGAGATTGATGAAATTGTAAGAAACTATTATAATATCATCTTTTCTTGAAGGAATTCCACATTTGATGTTTTTTGACAATGTGTGCGTTAAATTATGAAGCTCCAATTTTACCTATGCAGAAAAAATGTCATGTAGATTTACTCATGATTTGCCAATTACCCAATAGGGTGTCACATGTAAACTTGTTCCTTAGAAAAAAATTAATGACCATTGGTTCCTTCATATTTATTTAATTTTTAGGAGCAATTGTAGATATACAATTCAAATTTTTATCCATATTGTGATTGTAATTATGATAGTGACACAAACTTGTCAAAAATATGTTGGATCAGTTTTACTACCTTGACATATGGTAGAGAAATTCATCCAAACTTTTTCAACGATTTGATGACTAAATTATAACTATGTGTTGGAAACTAGTGTTCGAAACTGTGCATGGTTTTTTTTATTGAGTTTTCATACCCTCTGTTCCTGCAATTAGAATCATATATTTTTTTTAATTATAGCTCAGTCTACACGAGGGCTAAACATTGACATTGTAGGGTCCAAAGCCTTGTATGTGAGAAGTGGAGGGTTGCGTTAGGTAGTCGACACGTATGTGAGAAGTGGAGGGTTGCGTTAGGTAGTTGACAACCGGTATAAAATTTGTCGAAAAATCATGACATGATTTTTTTTTATCATTGTGTAAATACTAGGGCGTCCTATGGAAGCAACGCGTTGTATGACATGAATATAGTGAAAAGTATACAAGGGTCGCTACACTGGCGCCAGAGAATAGTGTCAAATAAACAAGGGTTCCTACTATACAGACGAATGCTGGTAAAAAAGTTAATCCATAAAATTAATCGCTACACTGGCGCCAGAGAATAGTGTCAAATAAACGAATGCTGGTAAAAAAGTTAATCCATAAAATTAATATTAGGATAAGATCATGGAATATGTACTCTCACAGGTAAATTAATGAAATTAATTGATATTAGGATTCATAGAAAGATAAATATCTTATGTATTTAAGAAATTAAATGGGTTGGAGAAAATGTTAAGGAGATTGATAATTTAGGTTTCAAACTTTGGTATTCAGGTAAAAGTCGCACTAGAAATGGTGTAGGTGTAATTATGGATAAAAGTTTAAAGATAATGCTGTAAAAATTAATAGAATTGAAAATAGAATTGCAGCCCTTAAGATTATTGTTGATACTAAGCTTTTTAATATATAAGTGCTTATGCTCCTCAAGTAGGTTTAGATATATGCTTTAAAGAAAAATTCTGGAATGACCTAGAAGATGTAACATAAATGATATCTCTTGAAGAAAAAAAATTTATTGAAAGAGATTTAAATGGACATGCCTGTAGAGTGGTAGAAGATTTTAGAAATATTCATGGTGGCTACGGTTTTGGAGTAATTAATGAAGAAGGTCGAGCCATATTAGATTTTAGTTTTGCTTATAATTTTGTTGTTGCTAATAATTTATTCAAGAAAAAAGATAAGCATATTATTATTTATAAGAATGGGTCTAATAAAACACAAATTGATTATTATAAGAAGAAAAGATCATCGATAATGTAAAGATTGTAAAGTTATTTCAAGTGAGGACTTAAGTTCTCAACATCGACTATTAGTTCTGGATTTTAAGATGAAGTGTTGTAAAATAAAAAATACTAGGAATCATTATCATAGAATTAGACGGGAAACCTAAAAGACACATAAAATTATTTTTATGAGTAAACTTCAAGATTTCAAGATTTAGAATGTTCATGAAGAAGTAAATTCTATGTGTGATAAATTAACAAACACTATTAAACAAGTGATAAAAGATTGACTTGGAGAAATTGACTTGGAGAATCAAAAAGAAAAATTTTTATAGATCAAAATAGCTAGTGGTGGAATAATAAAGTGCAATAAGAGATAAAATGACTTGGAGAATCAAAAGGAAAAATTTTTATAGATAAAAATAGTTAGTGGTGGAATAATAAAGTGCAATAAGAGATAAAATATAAAAACTCATTTTATAAAATTGCTTTAAATGTAAAAACTTGGAGAACTGGGAAAAATCATAAATAACCCGTAGGGAGTCTAAAAAAACGATCTGCGACGATAAAACTTCTACTTTTAGTGATTTTTATAATAGATTAGATATCAAAGAGGGTGATAAATATATGTATAAACTAGTCAAACAAAGAGAAAAAAATAAAGATTTAACTCAAGTAAAGTTTATTAAAGATAAAAATCAAAAAGTGCTTTTCTTATAAAAACATATTCAACGAAGGTGGTTGAGTTATTTTGATAAACTTTTCAATGAAGTTTTTGAAAATATGATAAACTTTAATGATCTTAATATTATTAATAATAATAAAATCTTTTATTTTTACCGTCGCATTAGTAAAAAAAAGTTGAGGAGGCTTTAAAGTTCGTTTGGGGCAACGGTGTAGCATCGCATTTGCCTGTTTGGATAAAATGTGTTTTGACAACTTTTTCAAAAATCTGTTGCTGAAATCAGAATTTTCCCACCGGTCTTAGCTAGGTGCGGTGATAGCTTTCTAGCTGTGGTCTTATTTTTTCAAAAAAAAATTGTAATAACCACCACAGCTTTTCACAACATCAGATTATTTTTCAACAACTTCACAGCTGCTTCTTAATAAGCTGCAGCTGCCCCAAACTAAAGAAAATATAGGGTGAAAAGTTTGTAGGGCCTGATGATATCCTAATTGAAGTGGAAATATTTAGGACATTTGAGAGTTTATTAGCTTACTAAACTTTTTAATATTATTTTAAAACTAAAGAGATGCTTGTGGAGTAGAAGAAGATTACTTTGGTTATTATTTTTTAGAATAAAGGGGATGCACAAGAGTGTCCAAATTATAGAGGAATTAAGTTGATATGTCATACTTTAAAATTATGAGAGAGGACAATTGAACATAGGTTAAGACACATTATAAAGATTTCTCATAATCAGTTTGGATTTGTGCTTGACAGGTCTGTTATGAAAGCTATAAATTTATTGCGAGGTTTGATGGAGAAGTACTGAGAAAATAAGGAGAATTACATATGATTTTTTTTTTTTTTAGAAAAAGCTTACGATAAGGCTCCAAGAGATATCCTTTGGAGGGTACTAGAGAAGAAATGTTTTATTATGACTTATATTCAAGTTATTAAAGATATGTATACTAGAGCTGTTACTTGAGTTTGAATCGAATGAGGGTTGACCAAATATTTTTCTATTTCTGTTGGACATTTACAGGAGGATATATTGTTGTATGTTTTTTGCTGATTATAACCTTCTTGTAGATAAGACTAGAGAAAAAAAACTAAGGGAAAAATTGAATTATGGAGGTCTACATTGGAGTCTAAAGGCCTTCGTTTGAGTAGAACTAAAACTGAATATATTGCTGTAATTTTAGGAGTAGTAGCTCTAGTGAGAGTTGTAACTATGGGTGATCAAATTATTAAAAGGTGTGAACTCTTTAGATATCTCGGGTCTATTGGTCAAAGTGATGGGTCAAAGTGATGAAATGAGGATGTTATTAGTAGAATTCAAGTTGATCGGTTGAAGTGGAAGAATGCTTCAGGCCTATTGTGTGATAGAAAAGTACCGCTTAGACTGAAAGGAAAATTTTATAAGATGGTGGTGAGACCTGCAATGCTCTATTGGCGCTGAATGTTGCCTTTAAAAGAGAAACATAAAACTAGCTTTTAAAAGAGAAACATAAAACTAAGTTAAAGTGTTGCTGAGATGAAAATGCTTAGGTCGATGAGTGGCTTTACACTTGGAGACAAAATGCAAAATGAATATATCCATGATAGGTTGGTTTAGCTCCAATGGTGGACACAATTATAGAGAGTCGTCTTAGATAGTTTGGGCACATTAAACGTCGACTATCTGATGATCTGGTTAGTAAAGTTGATATTTTAGATTTGACTTATGTTAAGAAAAACAGAGGTAGGGCATATTGTATAAAAAATGATCTTAATTTATTAGAATTAAATGAAAATATGACACTCAATAGTACGCAATGAAGAAAAATGATTCATGTAGCCGACTCCACTTAGTGAGATAAAGTCTCTTGTTGTTGTTGTTGTTGTTGTTTTTGTAGCCTACATAAGAGCTATTACTATGATGGATCTTACTTGGTGGATGTTCTTCCATTTGTGACACAAGATTATTTGCTTAGGTATACAATTTTTATGTTTAACTATGAAGAGCACTTTCCATCCTCCTACTTCGCAAGAAGGCGCACATTGGAGGGAGAATGACCATGCAAATTTGACAGGGATTTCGGCAACTACTCAAGATTCAATTTCTTATAATTAGTTGTGAGAAATTCTTGCCTTGATGTGAAGATTACACCGTAACAAATAAATGGGAGATTTTGTAATGTCCAATTTTCGATAAATGAAGTAAAATAAGTTTATTTAATAATGCACCCAATTTTTCACACCACCCTAAATTCATCCAAATTATTTTTATTAAATTCTACATTTTGTATCAATCAGATTGATATGTAATAGTATATAAATTCTTAATATATATATTTTTATAGAATATAAAACTTTAACTTAATTAAATATTTAATTTATTTACCTAATTAACTTAATCGTGTTAACAACAGTTGAGCAGTGTAGCAAAAAGAGTTTTTCACTTATCAAACCATGCAACAGTTTGATTGTTTTAGTGGATTAGATTAATTTAACTAAGATTTAACTATGTATGAAGTCAAATTCCTTTTTTTTCCATTGAATTCCCCTCCCCTCTATTTTCCCTTCCCCGTAGCCTTACTTTTTCGCTTGACGAGCAGAGGCGGAGCCTAATAGTGACGGAACAGAGAGCTGTTGCTCTCGATTAGACGAAGGGAAGTAAACTTGGAATGGAATGGCAAGTTTTGAAGGTGAGAATAATATATGTAATGGGAATGAGAGTATGAGAATAATATATGTAATGGAAATGAGAGTATATGCATTGAATTTTCATTTAACTTTATAAATTCCTTTTTTATCTCCTTTGTTTCTTGTTGTCTTG